ACTACTCTAGGCGTCGAGTTATTTAACCATCTTACATCGAGCTATTTGAGTTTGTCATGATCGAGACATCAGTACACAGCAAAAAGAAAAATACTTGATCGAGCAAAATACATGTTCAAATTACAAAAAGAAAGGGGTGTCATCATAAGAAAAGACATAAACTAATCTAAGTCCTCGGCCCTTTCTCCCAAGGCTGTGCTCCCCTGCTCCTCCACTGCATCCTCGCCGTCGATGTCGACGTCATGGTCCTCCACGATTTCCTCGGACTCTGAAAGCTCGAGGACATCAGCAACCTCAGGGATGCTCTTTAAATCCTCGGGTTTAGCATCGGGCTTCGATCTCAAAAATGCCCGAGCTTCCTTAAAGGCATGGAAGTACGAGCCTATGGCGTACTCTCCCTTAAGACCGTTGAACTCCTCGGACATTTTGAAGTCCTCGATCGCAACCCCTCGAGCTTCAGCCAGGCGAGTCTCAAAGTCAATCTTCAAACGCTCGATCTCGAGCTTTAAACCTTCGGCCTCGCCCTTGGCAGCTCTAGCCTCTTCTCGAGCTTTCTGGACATCGTTCTTCGAGTCCTCGAGCTCCTTCTGAAGAAGAAAGCGCTCAGCCTCCAAGTCGGCTATCCTCTTCTCATGTGCTTGAGAAACGTCCTCGAGTTCAGTGGTTTTTTGGGCCTCATCTTTCCCCTTCAGAGAAAGGCCTCGGGCAATGCTCAGAGCCTACACAATATAAACCCGAGCTTAAGCAATCACATCATTTAACACATCGTTTAAACCTTATATTTACACCAAGTAAATTGAGCGAGCTTACCTTCAGAGTGAGAGATTCCAGAGCCTTCATGCCCTCATCAAAATCGAGGTCCTTTCGATACTTGTCCACGATGCTGGACACCAGAGGACAGCAGTCAGGATCCTAATCTTGCAAAGAGGGCATAGGTGGGACCTCATCCTCGAGGTCAACAACCTCGGGAGTACTCCTTGGTCGAGGACGTGACCGAGGTGGATTAGTAGGAGTCTCAGTGGCCTGTGTGGTCGGGGTATGTCCCCGGGCAGAAGTTTCCCCTGGCCCACTTCTGATATTTTCGGGGCCTAAGTCCCGAGCTCTCTTCTTCCCTCTCTGAGGGCTGAAGGATCAAAAGTCATCTCTGCAAAAAACAAGTCATTAAAAAGAGCACAATTATACGTTCAAGGATAGATCAGTAAAGAAGAAGGCAAAAAAGTCCTACCCTTAGTGCCTTTCACATCCGCGAGATCGAGAACGTCATCACCGAGGATGTCATCTATATCATATACAAGAGGCTCGAGGTTCTCTAACATTACCCTATGCCTTTCTAAAGACTCGAAATAGACCTGGCCTTCACAAAATTTGGGAGTGTCGGGCAAAACCCACCTAGGACTAAAAGGAAGGTCATTATCCTGAGGTACGACATAAAACCACTTTTCTTTCCATCCTTTCAAAGAACTGGGCATCCTCGGTAATCTAAATCCTCCTCGGGACGAAAGGTAAGCAAAACAAGTATATTGAGGAAGCTGTTTCAGGTCGAACACGAGTCCCTAAAAATCACGAACTCTCCATCCTGAGCAAAGGCCATCCTATCCTCTACCCCTGGCATCCTAATATCACATTTGGGCATGAGCCCATGCTCCCTAGCCGTCGATATTGCTAGATGTTCCTTAAATTTACCGGGAAACTCGGGGTACCTAAAAAGGGTCGGGATACTTTGTACCCAAGGTTGGGCATTAATTGGGACGGCCATAGGTATGATCGAGCATCCTATCTCCTCGGGAGTACTCCTCGAGGATGATGACGAAGACTCACTACTGCTACTACTAGACATCCTGACCTAGGTAAAAAATGCCTAAAGAATAACTTAAAAACTCGAGGTCTTACCTTAAAGTCGATGCCTAAAAACTCAAAGTTCCAATCCCGACGATTAGCGAGAGAAGTTTACTAAAAGTAAAAAGTGAAAAATGAAATGTGGATAGGGTATTTATAGGCAACAGGAGCAGGAAGCCCAAAGGTCACTACCCCGACCGTCAGATCTGGACACGTGTCCTACATCCACCCCTAACAGTTTTTATCGCCTTTTCCTATTCTAGGGCTGACGTCAGTACACATCAGCCTTGTGATCACAGTCGTTCAGAAAATCCTCGAGCTAAAAATTCGAGCTTTTATTTCCAGTCTCTTTGCGTCATATCCTCAAGCGAAGTCTTCGAGCATATATGCACGGGGCCAGTGATGGTGATATTTTCCAATATCCCCGATCAACACATTATCCGACGACTATTTTTGGTAAAGCTGTAAATCCATCTACGGTGTCCTCGAGCATGTGTATCCTCGACACTAAGCCCGACCACATCGCCTGCTACTTCGCATATTGCAAATATTTTGTCCTCGAGCATCACAGTCCTCGGGCATATGCTCCCCTCACAACCGACGATGGTTGACTCTTTAGAATTCCTACGCAATTAGGACTTTTAACTCCTGCAAGGATTCTATCCCACATATAATTATGGAATTCAACAAACTCCTTAACTATTCAGGACTCCAACAGATGAGGACATCCAGCTAGTTGAGTCCCACTAGGAGAATGTCACTTACTACTATAAATACAGAACATTAAGTCATTATTCAGGTACGTTTTTTCATTGTTCTCCAGCACATAGCATCACGCACAAAATTCCCTCTCTGACTTAAGTATCGGAGGGGTGACGAGAACACACCTCGTTGCCTTTGTTTCAGGTACCGGAAGATCACGTTTGTGCTTCGCATCAGTCATCAAACTCGAAAAATCTACAGGTACGATTTTTGGTAGCATCACTTAGTAAATTATAGCAAATCTTATAGTACTTCAAATTTAGTAATAATAGTTAAATGATCTGGCATATAAATGAACCATATAATTCAACACCTTTTTTACGTCGATATAGTAAAAACAGAAACTGCCATTCAATGAACCAAGATGAGAAGTAAATTCGCATCCCCCCTCTCAGTTATTCACAGACTAATTACACTTTCTCCTCTTTGTCTTGCTTAATTCTATCTCTTCGTTGAGGACTATAAAAACCATCCCGTTATAGGGGGGAAGCTTGTTATCTCTCTTGATTCAAATTATCTAGTATTTTTTTCTATTTCTTTATCCCTGATATGAAAAAAATATACACTACTAAGTAAATAAATAAATAAATTATAGGTGGCGTGATTCACTTTTTTATTTTATTTTTCACTTATCTTTCGTTAAGAGATGAAATCTCACATCGAATAAAAATAAAAATATAGATCAATTTATAAAGAATTGGACTACTCATCTCGACAATGTTGACCTTTTAAGATAGAACCCCAAGTCTTAACATGGTATCAGAGCCTATTAAGTTTCAACGAGTGATTCGATTCAATTAAAACTCAATAAATGAGTATACAAATTTCAAGATTTGTCTGCTCAAATGAGCTATCATCTTGTGGGGACATATTAAGGGATGAAATCCCATATCGAATAAAGATGAAAATATAGACCAACTTATAAAAAATTGGACTATCTCCTGACAAGGTTGACCCTTTAAGATGGAATCTCAATTCTTAACATCTTCCTATACTTAACACCTCACTTCTAATACCATTTTCTAATGCATATTGTGCTATATGAGCATGATAAGCACCTACTCAACGGAAATTATAATAATAAAGTCCCAAATCCTAGTCTATGTCTTACATAGACAAGGGAATATGACTTTCTGGGAAAAAAGGGATAAACAGAGATGTAGAAAGAACAAGAAAGTCCATGGAAGATGGAGTTCGAAATATCTTGGTCACACCATGCATCTGCAGTTTAACGCTATAACAAATTCATCACCTGATAATCCTACTTCAAGTTCCATTCGAATCTAAAAACATTGCTAATCAAGTTACAAAGACTTCTGCCGGCATTGAATCACTTATCCATCAAACAGAAAAATATGACAGGCTTGAATACAAAATAGAAGAACTTACAAATGCAGCGGCTACATATCATTCAAGCAGCAGAAGGCCTGAAACTAGTCACTGCAATGAATTAACTTGAGAACGACTAATATAATATGTGATAGTTAAGGCACACACAACATGTACACAATTTTCATCCTAGCACGAATAATTTTCATCATAAGATCACTACCATAGCACTATGCACCACGTCCAAGTCCTTTATATAAATATCCAGAAAAATCAGATTCAAAGGCACTTGTAGTCACATAAAGAAGCTAGAGAACACAAATCAAACATCAAGATCTTATTGCAACTAAATCATATGGAGGCAATACTATGGTAATCCATAACATGTCCTTGAATAGTGTAAATGTGTCACATTGTATAATGGGATATGAATCAGCCGGACCTACATGCTCAAAAGCTAAGCACTGACATAAAACGAAAATGCATAAAGACAAGTAATGTCAATCCCGAACGTTAAAAATCTATTATAATTAATGCGAAAACTTGTCTCACAACAAAATCCACCATTTGCTTACTTAAGACTAAAGTTAGGTTTTGTATGGAATGTAACATTCATTTAATTAATGTTATATTTCACATCAGTTAAATTTTGACATATAAGTTTATATAAGGGTTGGGCTACTTGTCGAAATTTAACTGTCGCTCGACATCTACCAAAGGCTCGAACTCAAAACACCCAATCTACCCCATGGGCTTTAGTCCAACAGAAAAAAATGGTATTCAAGCTTATCTGAGTCTGATAAAATGTATGCAAAATGAAATCCTCAATAAACAGTGATACCGATCCTCGACATATTAGTCAAAACCATGGGATCCCTTGCCAATTACTTCACCTGATATGTCTCCTAACTTTTCTTATTCTTATTTCAATTCAAGAATTGTACTGTATATCCCTATCTATATATACTCGGCTAGTAAGTTCTTCTTTCCAACACAAGTCAATCTAAATCTTTAAATCATTTTAATCCTTTTATTGAGTCTCCTTGTTTTAATTTCTCTACTCTTGTGCAAAAATGAGAATCAGAAAAAATAGAATTGCAAATGCTAAAGAAAAACTTCGCCGAACAATATCTCCCAGGAAGGGAAGCATATTGACTGGTGTCAATGATGTTCCGAAAGGCTATTTTACAGTTTATGTAGGTGGAGAATACACGCGTTACGTCGTTCCAATATCTTTCTCGAACCATCCATTATTTCAAGAATTGTTGCATTGGGCAGAAGAAGAGTTTGGATATAATCATCCAATGGGAGGCCTTACAATTCCATGCACTGAAGATTATTTCTCTAGTCTTGTTGCTCTATTAAATTTTTCCTAAGTAAATTACAATGGATTTAGTACAGTGATGCTATTTGCTACTTAATTTGCAAACGTAGCAAATGGGACAGCAAAAATAGTCTTTCAATTTTGTAATTCAGATTACCTGCAAATATATATCTATATATATATATATATATATATATATATATATAAAGGAATTAACTTGAGTACTGCCCACTTTGGTTTAATAGTAATTGTGAATGAATTGATGATTGAACATTGAACATTTTAGCTTGAGAATCGAACCAACTTTATTAGTGTACTTCATGCCTTTTTGGCATTTTTGGTAACGTGAATATATATATAATGTTTAAGATCATACGAGTCCTCTATCTCATTTTCAGGCTATTATAAAGTAAAGATCATGAAAGTTTTAATCATCCGAAAGTCTATTAACTATAATAAAGTAAAGATCATTTTCAGGCTATTAACTATATGCTATCAAAAAGTCCTTAAAAGGCAAAATTATTGACGGAAAATACGTGGTATGTATTAATTATGCTATCAGCCTTTTCTTGCTAGCTGCTGCCAAAAGTGTACAAAATATTCCTGTTAAGATTGATCTAAGAAAGGCATATGATTCTATCGATTGGAGCTTTCTTAAATCAATTTTGGAAGGACTGAATTTTCCAGCAAGATTCATTCGGTGGGTGATGGTATATATTTCTACACCTTCTTACTTATTTGTTCTTAATGGAAGCTTATTCGGTTTCATTAAAGGTAAAAGGGGGTTAGACAAGGTGATCCCTTATCGCATTTTTATTCGTGATTTGCCTTAAATACTTGTCAAGATCATTGAAGAGAGCTACTAGCAACAGTGAATTCAATTATCATCCAAAGTCTGGGCTCTTGAATATCATGCACTTGGCTTTTGCTGATGATTTGTTGCTATTCTCCAGGGGTGATGTTATTTCAGTGCTCATAGCATTGCTTGTCTAAGTTCCGTAATTGCTTGTGATTAAATGTTAATGTTAATAAATCCAATCTATATATAGCAGGCATTCATAGGGCAGAATTGGTGGTAATACAGATGTTGTGGGCATGCCTAAGGGGACCATGCCGTTTAAATATTTAGGGATACCACTCGCGGCTGAAAAATTGAAAGTTAAACATTTTGCATCATTTTTGGATAAGATTATGGCATACATTAACACACGGACACGTATTTCATTGTTTTACATCGGGAGGGCCGAATTGGTGAGAGCCGTCGTACAAGGAATGGAATGTTTTTGGCTATCTATATTTACAATTCCAGGCTTCCAGCTATGGTTACATTGAGAATTACACGGCTTGTTGTCAATGAATTTGATGATAGTATTGTGTATGAAGAGGCAAGAGAAGATTTTTTTTAATGTGTAACCCTTGTTTTTATTTATAAGAGTCGAAAAATAGGTCAAAATGGTGTCCAATTTGAGTCCCAGAGAGTTTAAATCATGAAAGGAAACTATTGCTTCGTCTGCAAAAAAAGCTCACATGCACGTCACTGAACCATATGGCTCTCAGGTCATAAAATTTGTGTCTCACGAGCCTGCCATGAATGGCCCCATGTGTGGGTGCCGTTTTGCGTGCTATTGTCCTTTAGCAACGTTCGGTATTTTAATCATAACTTTCTCTCTCGATGTTTGATTAAAGTGATTCAAAGTAAGATGAAAAGGTAATTCAAAGAACTACAATTCTTCTAGAAGTACAATTTTTTCCAATTCGAATATTTGCTATCCACAAAATGGGTCTCAAGTTGAGGCTAAAAATTCTAGGCATAACTTTTTCGACTAGAAATTGATTTGTGAAAATATTACAATTCTATTTCACTCATTTGGCCTCCAAATTTCATGTTCCGAATCAACTATAGTATTTTTACGCTTTGGTCCCCAAACTTTAGATTTCTTTCCTTTTACTCATTTTTTGTTCATTTCTTCCAATTCTACCAATTTGCATTGAGTTCAACTTAACAAACATAATTAACACATTAAGCTATAACTCATTGAAATCACTGACAAATACTTCAATTTAATGGTCTAGATAAGTGTATAAAAATACACTTATTAAGTGGGGATTGCCTTAAAATTCCACAATATAATGATTATTCTCGGTCGAAGGGATCGATGAAAACCTAGGCAGCGAATGCTTGGAAAGGGTTCGTCACATCGAAGCACTCTTTTATCCTTTGGTTGAGTGTCCAAGCAAAGCCACTTACCAAGTATAATTCACATCACCTGAAGATTAACAGAAATTTCATCTTTTGTGGGTGGATGGAGGAAACCAAACCCAGCACTTGTTCTTTGCTTGTCCATTTAGTGCTTCGTTTTGGGGACAGATCCAAAAGTGGATGGATATTGCACACTCAATGTTTATGTTAGCAAGCTTATTAAAGTGGATTATAAAGGAGGCTCGAGGGACTTCTTGACAAAGTAAAGCCAAAAGCATCGCATTGGCTAGCACCGTTTACAACATTTGAATGGCAAGAAATAGGAAAATATTTGAAGATCTTGGGTCTCATTCCAATAGCATTTTGAGACAAATCAAAATATATGTTGACACGACCCGTCTCGAATCACCCTATGGACCTGAAATGTGACTTGCGCCGATAGTAGATGCTGATAAATGTTAGATCCACCATCAAAGCTGACTATGAGTTACTACAAAATATGCGACAAAATCAAATGTTTATAAAAACATAGTGCAATGAGCCCAAAATAATTACTTCATATTTTACCAAAATGAAGTATATCACTCAATATGTCATGCGGCTCTAACTCTTAAATCACCAGGCTCTTCGAGCTATCAATGATCAATATTACCCGTAAGAATAATTTCAGAAAAATATAAGTTGACAACTCAATGAGTGGAAGAGTTCAAAAATAGTTATACTTTCTCCTTTAAACATTTTTACCAAACATCAAGTTTATATCGTTTAATATTCATATAATAGACTCATACAATTATAGCCAAAAAGCGAGACATTCTCATAACACTGTAAATATTATCTCATAATCACGATATAGTCATCAGTTGATATCTATACCATCATCTCATTACATCACATGTGATCCATAAAAAATTTACTCTTTGACTAAAATCTGAAATTCGCCCTTCGGGCTAAACACTTTCTCCACGGGCTTTTGGCCCCCTCTTTGAACGAAAGCGGGTCTCAAGCATCTGGTAATCGATTCTAGAACCCCTCTGTGAACTATATGTACACGGTCAAGATCAATGTCTGGTGAAGTCTCCTCCATGTAGGATAGAATATGGTCAAGCATTTGTAAACTAGAAGAAGTATATAATCACGGATACTTTTCTGGTCGATCTCAAAATCATATCTCACATGTATCATAATAAAAGATACTTTGAAGTCCCACATGTATCATAATAAAAGATATTTTCATAATAACTATATAATTCGAACACATAATTACACATACTTTGATAATATACTTAATTTATAAATATTTTAAAAATATTTATATTTTTCTACTTATAGAACTATGTTTACAAAATCAACTCGGTTGGTAAGCTGTCTCGATATTCGTATCACCGCCTGAAATATGATATAATTTTTAAATTTACAATTAACTATTTTAAGTAATCTCAATAATTAAATAGGCAATACACAAACTTAATCATTTCACGTTTAAACAATTTCTAAAGTCTCTTTAATCACTAAAATTAGTTTTTCTTTCATTTAACTCAATTTCATAGCTTATTATATTTATCCCCTTCAATAAAATTGGATTTAATCTAACAATCTAACAACTATAAAATTAAATAAAATTTATTTATTTTTTTACTTACCTTTGAATTTGAAGAATTGAAGCGTAATAGTAGAAAAAATTATTTTCTAACAACGTAGTCAAATTTTTCTTTTTTTTTTCTCCTCTTCCCCTCCTTCCCCCCCCCCCTCCCCCGCTTCTTTTCTCCCCCAGCTCTCGATTTCTCTCACTGTGTATTTTATATGCGTAACTGTGTAACAAATGAGTTTGTGTGATTTATATATATATATGTAAACGAGTCGGGCCGAGTCAGCTCAGGAGCCTAAAGTTTCGGCTCAGGCTCGACCCGGTTAAAATGGTCGAGCTTTTTTGCGGGCTTGAGTCGGGCTGAACTAAAAAAAAAGGCTCGGCCCAAGCTTTTGCTCGGGCTATTTCTGGACCGAGCCGAGCAGACTCGTTTTCTCTCCCCCCCCTTTTTTTGAACTGCTGCCTTAAAGGCAGCACCTCAAATTTTATTATTTTATTATCTTTTTAAAAAGATCGCGAGCTTGCGGGTCGGTTCGTGCAAAGCCCGTGTCCCCAAAATGGGGCTCGGCCCGAGTCCCGAGTCGAGCCGGCTCGAACTTTTCCTTAGCCGAGTCACGGGCGACTCGAGTCGGCGAGCCCGATTGTCATCCCTATGTATATATATATATATATATAAGGTAACATTTGTATAGAATGTTATATTTACATTCTATCCTAATGTTTTGATCCATTTTGAGTCCCTAACTTTTGATCGTGAGATTGTGTCATTGGTAAATCTTATAACTTAGTAGGGATTTTGTAAGACCAAATATACTCAGTGTACTTATACATGAGTTTTAATCTATATAATTTTACATTACCACTTAAAAAATATTTCAATTAAATCATTTGCACTAAACATTTTAAAATCCAATTCGACAGGTGTAATCATTTTAGTCTTCAACACACAACTCTTGCAGCCAAAATTCACTCAAAAACTTGAACTCGAGACACATTCTAACTATGACCACAACGAATTAATTAATAGCGAGTTTACCAATAAATAATTATTGGATGAATTTTTCTAACTGTGGAAGCAAAGGGCTGATTCATGAGAAAAAACTTCCTCTCGGGAATTGATATTGCAGTTCGTCCAAGCTGGGAGATTATGATTATAAAAATAATTCCACTTGAGAATTTCCTGCAACTTTACTCAACGATTACATGTGCACAGAAAGGAAGAAAAGCCCTTAAATTGAAGTAAAATAATATTTCGCGACAAAGC